AATGTGATTCTTCAGTGAGGCTTCAGCTCCACTATGCCAAAAAAATCCTTTTGAATGTGATGGATCAGGACCCACTTTTATTTCCAGGCCTCAGAGTGTGGCTGTGAAGAAAAGATCAGAGCAGAGGGCCCAGCTCACAGCCTGGATGAGGGACAGGAGGGACAGGAGGGACAGTGGGGCCTCCACGCCACCACGGCTGCTGGTTCCAGCCCTGATGGCAGAGGAGCTCTGGGTTCAGGTTTTCCACCCCATGGAAGCAGAGGGGAGGTGGGGACAGACAGCACCTTGCTGTCTGACTGTCCTTGGTGACATTTGTGCTTCTCATATAGCTCAGAGGCCCTGGCAGGGCCTGCAGGGGCTCCAGGAGAGCTGCAGAGGGACTGGGGACAAGGCCTGCAGGGACAGCACCCAGGGAATGGCTGCCAGTGCCAGAGGGCAGGGCTGGGTGGGATCTTGGCCATGAGGAATTGTTCCCTGGCAGGGTGGGCAGGCCCTGGCACAGGGTGCCCAGAGCAGCTGGGGCTGCCCCTGCATCCCTGGCAGTGCCCAAGGCCAGGCTGGACACTGGGGACAGTGGGAGGTGGCCCTGCCATGGCAGGGGTGGCACTGGATGATCTTCAAGATCCCTTCCAACCCAAACTATTGGGACAAAAAAACCAAACCACCAATTAAACAAACCAAAGCCCCCAAACCCTCCAGCCATTGCTGCTGTCAGTGATTCTCTTTGCCTCCCAGGATGTTTTGAGCAGAGGTTGCCCTCAGGTCCCCACAGGCTGTTGCAGTTCAGCTGCAGCACCAATATTTTCATCACAGCTGAAAGAATGGGGAACCCCCCATATTTCAGAGGGATCAGTGTGGGCACCTCGAGTTTCTCTTCCCCTCTGAGGGACACGCACACCCCTGAGCATTGCAGGTGTCACATCTGCTCTTCCCAGCCAGAAATATCCGTGTTTGCTTTTCCACTTCAAGGCTCTTGTGCAGCCAACACCCTCATTTATCCCCTGAAGCTTTTGCAACAGCACCACATAAAACCATGGCAACAAAGCTGGGCAACAAAGCTGGGCACTGCAGCCTCCTCCTGCCTCCCATTTCTCCATCCCTGCAGCACAGCTTTCCTTGGCAGGATCTCCTTGCTCTCCACCCCTCCCTGACAGGAAGGTGCAGCAACTTCTCTTCTTCTATCTCCTAAGTGTGATAATTTATTTGTGGGGAGTTTTGAATAAGTTAGAGATGGGATTTTCTTACAATTTTGGAGTTGTTTTTGATGATGTGGGGTTTTTTTATTATTATTTTGTACATAGGTAAATAGGGTGAGTTTGGCTTATATTGTTATAATATGGTTTAAAAGGTTACAAGACCTCCAGGTATAAGACTTTTTAAGGAATTATTGATTAATAAAACACTGTTAATAAGGATATTTATGTATTTTACCTAATCTTGAAATATTTTGTCTTATGGATTTATATCTAACAGTGTAACATTTTATAGTTAATTATGTTATAACACATAAACTTATAGTATTGTGTTTTAATCTCTTTGTTTATTTTGATAACTACTTTTATTTTTAGTTAGTTCTGAAAGTTCCTTGCATTTCAGATTCCAACACTAAGGGAAAAAATGAGAGGAAATGGCTTCAAATTGCACCAGGGAAGGCTCACATTAGGGATTAGAAACAATTTTTCCCCTCACAGAGTGGTCAGGCCTTGGGATCAGCTGCCCAGGGAGGTGATGGAGGCACTGGAAGGGTTCAGGAGGAGTCTGGATGTGCCCTTGGGGACAGGGTTTGGGCTGATGCTGGATGCCCATGGAAGTCTCTTGGTGATTCTGTGACTCTGGGATTTCCCTTTAGCCACAAAGGAGCATCCCAGGTGTCCCTCTCCAGCAGGAATTAAGGACAGGGCATCCTGATGTGGGCTCTGGCCTTCAGCCATGGAGTTATTGGGATGTTTAGACAGGGCTTTAGCAGCTATGGATATTCTGGGGCAGCCTGGCAGGATCCCTCTGGACACAGCCAACACTGCAGCAGCTCAGCTGTTCCTGTGATCCTGTGGGGAAAGATGGGCTCAGACAGAGCCAAAGGGTCACACCAGGGGATCAAACACTAAATGGGGCTCAGACAGAGCCAAAGGGTCACACCAGGGGATCAAACACTAAATGGGGCTCAGACAGAGCCAAAGGGTCACACCAGGGGATCAAACACTAAATGGGGCTCAGACAGAGCCAAAGGGTCACACCAGGGGATCAAACACTAAATGGGGCTCAGACAGAGCCAAAGGGTCACACCAGGGGATCAAACACTAAATGGGGCTCAGACAGAGCCAAAGGGTCACAAACAGGTGATCAAACACTAAATGGAGCCTCAGGATCTCTCAGGAAACCAAAATACCCCAAAGGCTGACCCACTCAGTACTCAGAGACCCCCAAAGATGCAAGAACTGTTCCATCAGAAAGAAGCAATTCCAAAGGGTTTCCTCAGGTAAAAAGAAAGCCCTGGCCAGGGCAAGGCATCCAAAGGGCAGAGTTTGTTTCTTGCAGATGATGCAGGGAAACAATGGAATGTTGGGAGAAAAAGGGATCAGGTGCACTGAGAACTCCTCTGAAGGGAAATGTCTGGGGGAGATCAGCATTGATCCCAATCCTCTGCTATTCAGGAGAATCACAGAATCAGGCAGGTGGGAAAAGGCTCCAAATCACAGCACAGGGACAGCACCAGGGAGGGGCTGGGGCTGGGCCTGGAGGGATTTAGGTTGGATTTGAGGGCAAGGTTGTTGCCCAGAGGGTGCTGGCACTGCCCAGGCTGCCCAGGGAATGGGCACGGCCCCGAGGCTGCCACAGCTCCAGGAGCCTTTGGCCAGCGCTGCCAGGGATGCCCAGGCTGGGCTTGCTGGGCTCTGGGCAGGGCAGGGCTGGCACTGGGGGATCCCTTCCCACTCAGGAATTCCATCATTATTATTATTATTGTTATTCCATGAGGTCAGGGGCATTTTGCTTGCCATTAGTCTCCATTCCAGGCCAATATTAAGGTTTCCACCTTTCCTGCCCAAGACCTTTGTCTGCTCCTCCTCCTGTTTAATCATTCCCACCCTGTCTGTCCCTGACCCCTCCCTGCTCTCCAGACTCAGCAAACCCTGAGCCCAGTGACCTTCAGGGGGACACTGGGACTGCCATTATTCAGGGAAGCTTTGGTTTCAGGAACAGCTGGTAGAAGAGAGGGGTTGAGGGAGGGATAAATTTCTCATTATTGGCAGTGATTTCTCAACTTGGGAACTTCCAGGCTCCTTTCTCATTTCCATAGCCAGACAAAAGAGCTCCAAGTGACTTTATCCAGCTGGGAGCAGCCAGGGAATGTCTGTGTACAGCCTCTGGGGTTCCTCACAGCACACAGAAGCTCTTTGGGGGTAAAGCCAAGGGAACCTGCCAGGAAAAGTGTGGGATCAGCAGGAAATGCTGCCAGCAGCTCGTCCCTGTGCTGGGAGGTTTCCTGCTCAGAACATCTCCAGGATGTTGCAGTAACCATGACAAGGGTGGCAGCAGCAGGGTTTCCTCAGGGATCAGCATTTTCCACACCAGGAGCAGATCTCCCTCCCTCTGGGGTGTGCTGTGGATTTGGGATCACTCCACGCTGCCTTCCTGCCCCTCAAAGATGGCATTTCTTAGGCAGGACTGGCTGTAAAATGAAAATATGGGTTTTTAATCCCAGCCAAAGTGCTTAGGGAGGCTTTTGCACCTCAATCCCACCATGATCTCCCTCCCTGGATGTCCCCAGCAGAGCAGGAGCTGCTGCTGATGCTCCTGATGTGGTCTCATTTCCCTGAGCAAACTCCTCAGGTGTCTCAGAGCCTCTCAGAGGTGTCAGCATCTGCTGCTTGCCAGAAGGAAAGCCAAATCTCATTCATTCTCCTTTTTTTTTTTTTCTCTTTTGGTTTGGTTTTCTGGGGTTTTTTTAGGAAGTTTTTTGTCTTTTCCTGCTCTAGATCATGAGTGAGGTGCCCGTAGAGCAGAGCTCTGAGGATTTATTTCTGCAGCAAGGGCATGGAAGTGACAAGGGGAAAGGAAAAGGGGAAAGGAAAAAAAGGGGAAAGGAAAAAAGGGGAAAGGAAAAAAAGTGGAAAGGAAAAAAAGGGGGAAAGGAAAAAATGGGAAAGGAAAAAAAAAGGGGAAAGGGGAAATCTAGAAAGGGGAAAAAGGAGAAAAAGGGAAAGGGGAAAGGGAAAGGGGAAAGAGGGGAAAAAAGGGAAGGGGAAAAAGGAAGGGAAGGGAAGGGAAGGGAAGGGAAGGGAAGGGAAGGGAAGGGAAGGGAAGGGAAGGGAAGGGAAGGGAAGGGAAGGGAAGGGAAGGGAAGGGAAGGGAAGGGAAGGGAAGGGAAGGGAAGGGAAGGGAAGGGAAGGGAAGGGAAGGGAAGGGAAGGGAAGGGAAGGGAAGGGAAGGGAAGGGAAGGGTATTGAGCAGCCTGACTGCTCAGTGCTCACTTCTTGTGCCCAGATCAGCAAAGGAAATCATTGTTCCTATCACTGCTGGTGCTACTGGTTTATTCATAGGAACATGGAATGATTCAGGTTGGGAGGGACCTTAAAGATGATCCCATTTCACTGTCCCAGGTTGTTCCAAGCCCCATCCTGGCCTTGGGCACTGCCAGGGATCCTGGAAGTGCCACAGCTGCTCTGGGCACCCTGTGCCAGGGCCTGCCCACCCTCACAGCCAAGAATTCTTCTCTAGAAATTCTTAATATTATTATTATTTAACAGAGCTCATCTTTACTCTTCTGGCTCACCAAGAATGGAGCTGCAACCGTTTATCCCCAGGAAAGCTCTTTTCCAATATCTGAACTTGCAGCAGTCAGCACAAAGGCTCAGTCCCAGATCCGACAGGATGACTGATGCAAGCTGTCAGCCAATATTTGACTTTCCAGGTGAGATTAGATTTAGCTTTTAATTTAATATAAACATAAGTGCAGTGCAAGGCACTTATTTCACAGGCACCTGCTCCCAGCCTTGTGCAGGCTCCTTAAAGACATTCCTGCTCTTTTTGGGGAAGTTTCACCCCATTATCCAGTGGAGCTGGAAAATCCCGAATCTCCTTAGAGAAGGACACAGCAAAGGTAAGCTGCTGTTACAAGTCTATTTCCTCCTGAAAAATGATAGCAGTTTTTGATGGAAACCAAGGGAAAAGCAGGTTTTACAGACAGTAAAGGCAGTTTGTATTTGTATTTTCTCATTTCGTTTCATTAATTACCTTTATCCTCTATATTTGAGCATGTGTAAGGGAGTAACTGCAGAGGGATCCACCTGCACGTGTACCTGAATCCCTGTGTGCACAAAGGCTGAATTCCTGAATTCCTGAATTGGAACACATCCCAAATTTTTATTAGCAATGAAAATTCAGTGCCTCTTCCCCTTGGATGCAGCCAACTCCTCGTTCTTGAGGATGGGACTGGGAACAAAGGGCTTTGGGGGAAGATTTCCACGGGTTTTAGGGCTTGGCTGGCCTGGAGAGAGGAAGGAATTGCCCACATTAAAGTGGGACAGCCTGGGTGGGAATGGGATCAGGGGGGAATGGGATTGTGTGGGAATGGGATCTGTATGGGAATGGGATTGTGTGGGAATGGGATCTGTATGGGAAAGGGATCAGGGGGGAATGGGATTGTGTGGGAATGGGATCTGTATGGGAATGGGATATGGGGGGAATGGGATTTTGTGGGAATAGGATCTGTGTGGGAATGGGATTGTGTGGGAAAGAGATCTGGGTGGGAATGGGATTTGTATGGTGAATGGGATCTGTATGGGAATGGGATCGTGTGGGAATGGGATCTGGGTGGGAATGGGATCAGGGGGGAATGGGATTGTGTGGGAATGGGATCTGTATGGGAATGGGATTGTGTGGGAAAGAGATCTGGGTGGGAATGGGATTTGTATGGTGAATGGGATCTGTATGGGAATGGGATCTGTATGGGAATGGGATCTGGGTGGGAATGGGATCTGTGTGGGAATGGGATCAGGTGGGAATGGGATCAGGTGGGAATGGGATCTGGGTGGGAATGGGATCTGTGTGGGAAAGGGATCTGGGTGGGAATGGGATCTGGGTGGGAATGGGATCTGGGTGGGAACGGGATCACGTGGGAATGGCTCTCATCAGAATGGGATCAGGTAGGAATGGGATCAGGTGGGAAGGAATTCTGGAGGGGGATTTTCCTCCTGTGGGACACACACCTGGTTTATGGGGCCTGAGCAGCACTGGCGTCTGAATTTTGGGATAATGGGATCAAACATGGCTTTGCAGTAGCAGGCAGTGTCTCTTCCCCTTTGGGGATTGTCCCAAATGGTCCCTGAGGGCACTCCAGGGATGGAGTCTCGGCCTCCCTGTCCCTCCCATGGCTTTGTCTTCTCCTCAGGAGCAATCCTTCCTCCCTTGTGGATTCCCCTCTGCAGGGAAGGGACAGTGCCACAAACCCTGTGACAGGGCCATGGGGGCCTTCACCAAAGTGTCCCCAGAGCAAAGGGACCTGAGTGGGCTCCAGGATGAGCAGAGGGATGGAGCAGCTCTGCTGGGAGGAAAGGCTGGCACAGCTGGGATTGTTCACCTGCACAGGAGAAGCTTTGGGCTGAGCTCAGGGTGGCCTTGCAGGGCCTGCAGGAGCCCCAGGAAAGCTGCAGAGAGACAATTTCCAGGGGATGCAGGGACAGCACCCAGGGAATGGCTGCCAGTGCCAGAGGGCAGGGCTGGGTGGGATCTTGGCAATGAGGAATTGTTCCCTGGCAGGGTGGGCAGGGCTGGCATGGAATTCCATCCCTGGATCCTGGCAGTGCCCAAGGCCAGGCTGGACACTGGGGCTGGGAGCACCTGGGACAGTGGGAGGTGTCCCTGCCATGGCAGGGGTGGCACTGGATGATTTTAAGGTCCCTCCCAGCCCAAACCATTCCATGATTCTGAGTAGGACCTCCTTGGGTCTCTGAACATACTGAACCACTCAGAGATGGGGATTCTCAGCTGAGCTAAAGCTGCACCTTCAAGTGTCAGAAGGTGACTGTTACCAGATAATTGATATAACACAGACAAAATACTCCAAACCAACTCTTTTAATGCAGACATCTGATTTAAAAGAATTTTTTTTTTGTCTTTAGCAGCATAATTGGCGAGGATGACCAAGCTGCAGAACTTCACTTGGGCAGTGGAAGATATTTTCAAGGAAACCTTCCTCAATTACATGAACAGCTGGAGGAGGAACATGACAGAAGCAGCGGACAAACTGCAGGCTGAGGTGGCTGCTGAAAACTTTGACTACGTTATCCTGTACCTGATGGTGATGATTGGGATGTTCTCCTTCATCATCGTGGCCATCCTGGTGAGCACTGTGAAATCCAAGAGGAGGGAGCACTCCAATGATCCCTATCACCAGTACATCGTGGAGGACTGGGGCGAGAAGTACAAGAACCAGGTGCTGAACCCAGAAGATCTCAAGTGTGTGATCCATGAAAACCTGGGGGCCAGGGATAAAACAAGCCCAGAGTCACCTTGACTCTCTGGGAATGCCAGCAGTGAGGGACTCATGGAGTCACACAGAGGGAACTCACTGGAATTCCAAAGAGCTGTGGAAGTGTTGATTCAATTTACACACAGGTCCATGGATAATGGAGTCCTGAGGAAATCAATGCGATGGCTCCTGTGAGGATCTTGGGAAAGTCCAAGAAAAATTTGTGATTGTGCTTCCCTTTGATAGTCTGTCCTTTGGGAAAATAAAGCCAAGACAGGGATTACTTGGTTATTTGAGCATTTTTAAAATCCACAAGCAGATCTGGATGTTCCCACCTCAGAATAACTGTGAATTAGTGCTGGTCAAAAGTGCCAATTTAGATCCAAACTGTGTGACTTAAAACCACTTTAAAAATAACCTGAAAATATCCAGTAAAATCTCCAATCTCCACGCATTGACTGAAGAAGCAATTAGGGAATTGTGAAAAACATCAATCACTTGTTTTTAAAATTTTAAAAGTTTAAGAGTAATAAAATGGTTATAAAAACAGTAATACAATTAGAGTAATAAAAATCTGGACAAATTGAATTAGGACAATATGAGACCATAAAAACAAAGACTTACAGACAGTCCAGGTACCTTTTTCTTGGCATCACAAGACCGAAAAAGAACCCACGTTACCAGAGGATTAACCCTTAAAAACAATAACCTGTTGCATATTCATACACCTCATACATGATGCATAAATTCCATTCAAACACAGGATTCTGGCTGCTCATCTCTTCCTCTAAATCCTAGCAGTGCCTTCCAGGCAGGAAGAAGTTCATTTCTTCTGATAATGGAGCAATAAATTCTTTTTCTCGGAAAGATTCAGGTGTCCTGTGGCTCCTATCTCGTTGCAAGTCCTCTCTTTAAAAAAAGAATCCTACCTAGCAGAGTTTCTATTTTAACATTTTTTATAACCTAAAACTGTATTTAACACACTACTTAAGAGAATTAATACAGCCTTACTTTCTAACACAACACATATAATATTCATTTGAATATTTGCCAAAAGCCAATCATAAAATACATGCATTTTTCACAGGAATGGATCACAGGAGGGACCTGATACCCGCACACACTCACTCCTGACTCCTTTTTAGTGATCTGATTCCTTTTTTGCTCGTGTTAAATAATAAATGACAAAGGGCTTCTTTTCTTTGGGGGCCTTTGGCTTGTCTTGGACACAGATTTTGAGATTTGAGCTGATACCATCACTCTGTAGATGTGCTGGAGGTGCAAAAGAAGCACAAGGAGCAGGCTGGAGGAAGGGATTGTCTTCTCTGCTCGTGTGAGACCTCACCTGCAGAGCTGCCCCTGGATCAACACCAGAAAAAGGTGGAGCTGCTGGGAGAGCTGGGGGCGCTCACCTGGAGAGGAGAAGCTCCAGGGAGAGCTCAGAGCCCCTGGCAGGGCCTGAAGGGGCTCCAGGAGAGCTGCAGAGGGACTTCTCACATAGAAATGTATTGATAGGACATAGGGAAATGGCCTTAAATTGAAAGAGGGCAGGTTTATGTCAGATGTTAGGAAGAAATTCTTTAGTGTGAGGGTGAGGCCCTGACACAAGCTGCCCACAGAGAGGATGTGGACTCCACAATCCTGCAAATGTTTAAGGCCAGGCTGGACAGGGCTTGGAGCAACCTGGACACCTTCCACTGTCCCAGGCTGCTCCAGCCCCAGTGTCCAGCCTGGCCTTGGGCACTGCCAGGGATCCAGGGACACCCCGTGACAGGGCCTGCCCACCCTGCCAGGGAGGAAATAGTTCCTCATGTCTGTTCTAAACCTGTAGTTTTTCAGTGTGAAGCCATTCCCTGTGTGCTGTCCCTGCATCCCCTGGAAATTGTCTCTCTGCAGCTTTCCTGGGGCTCCTGCAGGCCCTGCAAGGCCACCCTGAGCTCAGCCCAAAGCTTCTCCTGTGCAGGTGAACAATCCCAGCTGTGCCAGCCTTTCCTCCCAGCACAGCTGCTCCATCCCTCTGCCCATCCTGGAGCCTCCTCTGGGCTCTCTGCAGCAGCTCCAGCTCCTCCCTGGCCTGGGCCCAGGCCTGGGGCAGATCTGCAGGTGGGAAATCACCTCAGGGAGCACAATCCCAACTATATCCCAACCCCAGCTGGGCACGGGGGTCTCTGGGACCTCGCCGCGGTCCCTGCAGGATCTGTTTTACGGCAGAACTGCTCATTTTGAGGGAGAAAAGCGGAGCACCGCCATGCCCAGCGCTGCAGCCGAGCGGGCGGAGCGGTCCCGGCCGGGCCCGGCGCTGCCGCTGCCGGGAGCTCCGTGAGGGAGCGCCGCCCCCGCTGCCATGGCCGCCCGCAGGTAGGACCGGCCTGGGCCCCTTCCTTTCTTCCTTCCTTCCCTTCCTGCTTCCTTTCCATCCCCTCACGGCCTCGCGGGGCTCCGGCGGAGCCCGGCCCGCATCGCCGCCGGCCCCGAGCGCTCCGCTCCCCGCAGCCTCGGCCGCTCTGCGGGGCCGGGCCCGCTGCCTGCCCTGCCCCGGCCTGCCCGGCCTGGCCTTCCCCTGCCCCTTCTCCACCGCCTCCTTGCCCTCCAGGCCTCGTCCTTTCTCTCCACCCTCCCTTCCCCCTCTCCAGTCCCTTCCGTGTTGCTCACCCCGCTTCCCTCCATCTCCAGCCCCTCTCTTTGCCCTCCACCCGCCCTTGCTCTCAGTCCCTTGTTCCGTTCTTCTCCATCCTCCTCCTTGCTCTCCAGCCCCCTTACTTAATATCCGCTTTTCCCTCCTTGTTCACCAGCCCCCTTTCCTAGTTTTCCATCGCCTTCCTTCCTCTCCAGGCCCTCCATTCTTGTTCTCCACTCTCCTCCTTTCCCTTCAGCCCCCCTCCTTATTCCCTTTCTCTCCAGCCCCCATTTCTTGTTCTCCAGCCCCCATTCCTTGTTCTCCAGTATCCGTCCCTTTCTCTTCAGCCCCCTTTCCTTGCTCTCCATCCCCTTTCCTTGCTCTCCACCCCCTGCTTTTCTTGCTTTCCACCTCTCTCCTTGTTCCCCAGTCCCTTCCTTCTGCTCCAGCCCAGGACAGATCCAGGGCTGGGATCCAGGGGCAGCCCCAGCTGCTCTGGGCACCCTGTGCAGGGCCTGCCCACCCTCCCTAATTCCCAATATCCCATTCAGCCCTGCCCTCTGGCAGTCTAAAACCATTGCCCCTTGTCTTGGCACTCTCTGCCCATATAAAAAGTCCCTCTCACTCCTTTTCAGCACTGGAAGGGGCTCTAAGGTCTCCCTGGTCCCTTCTCCAGGCTGGACAATCCCAGTTCTCCAGCCTCTTTTCAGAGCAGAGGGTCTCAAATTTTGGGATCATCTTTGTGATGCCATGGTGGAAGAGTCTGATGTGCCCCTGGCATTTCTGGGTTTGGTTTGATTTTAATCCAACCAATGTGAATGAAACATCCCATCTGCTCTGTTCCTGTTTTCCAGAGTTTGGAGTATGTGAGGAGCTGCCAGAGGAATCACTCATATTTTAATTTCTGCTTCATCAGGTATGAAGATCTTGATGTTTTTTTTCAATTGTTTTGATGTTGCTTGAATTGGAACCTTGAGTTGATCCAGAATCAGAATCAGGTGTGGGTTGGAAAGGACCTTAAAGATCATGTCATTCCAAGCCCTGCCATGAGCAGAGACACCTTCCAGGTTGCTGAGAGTCCCATCCAGCCTGGCCTTGGTGAGTGACACCCTTTTCTAGCTCAGAAATGTCACATTTAATTGCACTCAGATAACTCAGTAGCTCAGTGCTTTCCGAGGCCTCATGGCTGGAGTTGTCCAGCAATCCCCAAAGGGACATCTCCAGCCCCATTTTATGGGAATGCTGGAGCTCTTGGCAGGCAGGGTGAGATGTGCAGCCTGCCAGGACAGCCCCAGGGGGTTTGGATGCTGGGGATGCTCTGGGGATGTTCTGTGGTGCCTGGGGGCTGTCCCTGCTCTGCAGACAATGCCCTGAGGGCCTGGGCTGGGCTGTGCTCCTGGGGAGGGCTGGAGCTGCAATCCAGGCTTGGGATTCAACTCCCTGCTCCAGCACAGCCCTCCCTGTGCCTGGGGCTGGAGCCAGGGCTAATCCAAACTCTGGGATGTGCTGCAGCCCTCCCTGAGGGACACTGCAATGAGCCTGCTGTGCCTGCAGAGCATCCCAGAGCATTTGGGGGTCACAGGGAATGGCGGGATCTGGCCAGACCCTCTCCTCTTTCCCATCTGCAGGAGTCTGATCTGCTTCACCAGACAGAATTCCCTGGGATAAGGCTGCACACAGAGCCCAGGATCCCAAAATCCCAGCATGGCTTGGGTTGGGAGGGACCTTAAAGCTCATCCAGTGCCATGGGCAGGGACATCTCCCACTGTCCCAGGCTGCTCCAAGCCCTGGGACACTGCCAGGGGTCCAGGGGCAGCCACGGTGGCATTTGTTGGAAAAGGAGGAATAAAGGAATATAAAAGGAATCAAAACTATAAGGAATAAAGGAATAAAAGTGTAGCAATGCTGTGAGGGCCCTGAGCAAGGAGGAACGATGAGGAGGACTCCATGGATGTCAGAAGGCTAATTAATTACTTTATTATACTATATTATTATTATGAGATTATATGATATGATTATTATTATTATCATTATCATTATTATTTACATCTAAAACTGAATCTGCCAAGCACTCAGCTGCTCACACTGCACAGCATTTTGTGCCTGTCACCCAACAGTCCTGACACACACACACACACACACACACACCCCTGGCCCTGACAGGCCAAGGGAACAAAACCCCATCACTTTGGGTAAACAATCTCCATATTGCATTCTGCTTTGGCACAAACACAGGCACAGCAAATGAGATAAGAATTGTTTTTCCTTTCTCTGAGGTTCAGAGAATGTGAAACCCAGAAATATTCTTGGGAAGAACTGTGCCTTGCTTTTCTCTGTGCAGAGAAATGTGGGGGGGCTACATAGAACTGCAGGGGGGACCTGGCAGTGCAGTCCCAGGGAACCCCTGCCAGCCTGGGGCTGTTCTATCCCAGCTCTGGAGCATCTGTCAGGGCATCCCTGGCAGAGGCTGCTGCTGCTGCTGTCCCTCCTCACGTGGCTGCTCACAGGAGCAGGTGAGGGGAGGGAGCAGTGCCCTTGTGTGGGGCCCAGGCCCTGGCTTTGCCTGCATTTCCCTGGGGAGGGAACAATGCCTGCCTGTGGATGTGTTCCCTGCTCCTTTCTGTGCCTTATCTCCTCAGGAAAGGCAAACACTCCATTCCAGCTGTTGATTTAAGATATCCCAGCCTTGAAAAAGCACTGTTGGGGCTTTTTGCTCTCGCACTGATGACCTCAGTGCTCATAAATGGTGGTTTTTAAGTGTGAAGGGAATCCTAGAATCCTGGAATGGTTTGGATTGGAAGGGATTTCAAAGCCCATCCAGCTTCCATGGGCAGGGACACCTTGCACTAATCCCAGGATGCTCCCAGCCCCAGTGTCCAACCTGGCCTGGAACATTCCAGGGATCCAGGGGCAGCCCCAGCTGCTCTGGGCTTTAAAATCCTCCCCTTTCCCCACTTTCTCCCCTCTTCCCACTTTGTTCTCCCTGCCCTGTGCTGCTATTTTCAATCCTGAGGTCTCCACTGGATTTCATAAGGGCTGGGATCAGAGTGGGGCTGGAAAAGGCAGGAGATGAGAGGGGGAGAAGTGCTTGGCCATGGAGGCTGGTGGGATGTGGGAATGCAGCCTGGATTGGAGGGAGCAGTGACATTCCCACTGCTCAGGACACTGTGGGGACAGAGCAGCACAGGTGGCAGCTCTGGAAACATCCTGGGATTACAGCAAACATGGAAAGAGATGTTGGGCAAGGGATGCAGGACAGCACCCAGGGAATGGCTGCCAGTGCCAGAGGGCAGGGCTGGGTGGGACATTGGGAATTGGGAATTGTTCCCTGGCAGGGTGGGCAGGGACTGGCATGGAATTCCATCCCTGGATCCCTGGGCCAGGTTGGACACTGGGGACAGTGGGAGGTGTCCCTGCCATGGCAGGGGATGATCTCCAAGGTCCTTCCAACCCAGAGCATTCCATGATTCCATGAAATGAAGATGCATTTCCTTGGAGGTGTAACAGCAGTGACTGTTCACAACCACCCTGCCATGGCCTCAGCAGGAGAAGGAGCTGCACAATCAGGATCTGCACAGGAATAGTGACTGATGGAACAGTCACTGCCACTCCAGGGCCTTGGTACAGCTGGGCCTTGGTCACTCTGCAGGAGAGGGAATGTTTCCAGAGGGGTCTCAGCAGGGTGAGAGGGAAAAGGAGAGGAGAGGATGCTCTGGCTGGAGAAATTAGAAAATCTACCCAGAAACTGAGCTGCAGGAACATTGAATTTCTGCAGGGAGCTCAGCAGCTGCTCTCTGGTGTGGTGCTGATTTATCCAGGCCAGCTTTTCACGGTGCTGGAGTGTTCACTCCTGCTTTTCCACCCTTGCTCCATGGACAGGAAAGGCCTCCAGGGGTTGATTTGGATCCCAGCAGCTGAGCAGAGAGCCCAGGGCAGTGCTGTGTGTGCTGCAGCCTTTTCATCCCAGGAATTCAGCTCTGGAATGCTTGGTGAGCGCTCAAGGCTCCAGGGACTGCTTGCTTTGCTAACCTCTGTATTTATAAACTGTTAGGATGGAGAATTAAATTAATCAATCACAGAGGACTGAGAAATTAGAGGATTAATTCAATGTTCAGGCTCCAAACAGAGCAGGGGGAGCACACACAGCTCCAGCCCCAAAGGCAGCCGTGCTCTCCATGTTGTGCATGGGGCAGCTGCCAGGGGGTGGGATTGCAGCCCCAGCACCTGCTCTGGGCTGTCTCAGCCTGTCCTGCTCCTGTCACTGAGCCCCAGAAAGGCCCTGAGGTCCCTGGGGTTGCTGGGGATGAGCCCCTCCCAGGCAGGGTGGGCTAATTAGCAGCTACCCTAATTCTCTTTCCATTTCTATTTCTCCAGGACTTCATTCTGCTTTGTTTTTCATTTCTCCAAGAGTTCATTCTGCTTCTTTTTTCCATTTCTCCAAGAGTTCATTCTGCTTTTATTTTCCATTTCTGCAAGAGTTCATTCTGCTTTCTTTTTCCATTTCTCCAAGAGTTCATTCTGCTTTTTTGTTATTTCCCATTTTTCCAAGAGTTCATTCTGCTTTTTCGTTATTTCCCATTTCTCCAAGAGTTCATTCTGCTTTTTCGTTATTTCCCATTTCTCCAAGAGTTCATTCTGCTTTCTTTTCTGTGTCTCCAAGATGCTCCTGCCCTGCCCTGTGCCTCCAGGAGTGTGACCCCCCCAGTCCTGGGGCACCCCACAGCTGAGATGGTGGCCTTTAACTGGAAGGTGAGGCTGGGGCAGGTTCCCAAATCAGGGATTGCTGCTCTTTGCACGGGGATGTGTTGGGTGGGATCTGGTGGTTCCTTTCCCAGGCAGGGTTGTTTGACCCCCACCCTCTCAGGACAGGGGATTTCTTCCTCTCCTTCCTTGCCCATGTTAGACCTGAGTTCAGCAGAGCTCAGCTCATCCCTGCTGCTCCTGCCTTTCCTCTCCCCAGGTTTTCCTCTGGCTGCTCTTCCCTCAGCTGCTTTTGTTACTGGATGGGAATTTCTCCCTCTGTGTTTTTGGGGTTTTGGGGGTTTGGGGGTCATTGTGTCAGGCACCACAGTGTTGGAACAGGTTCCTCCTGCATGGAGCTGTTGGAACAAGTCCATGGAGGCTCCAGGATGGGCAGAGGGATGGAGCAGCTCTGCTGGGAGGAAAGGCTGGCACAGCTGGGATTGTTCACCTGCACAGGAGAAGCTTTGGGCTGAGCTCAGGGTGGCCTTGCAGGGCCTGCAGGAGCCCCAGGAAAGCTGGAGAGAGACAATTTCCAGGGGATGCAGGGACAGCACCCAGGGAATGGCTGCCAGTGCCAGAGGGCAGGGCTGGGTGGGATCTTGGCAATGAGGAATTGTTCCCTGGCATGGAATTCCCAGAGCAGCTGGGGCTGCCCCTGCATCCCTGGAATGTCCCAGGCCAGGCTGGAGCAGCCTGGCACAGTGCAAGGTGTCCCTGCCTGTGGAACTGGATGAGCTTTGAAATCCCTCCCAGCCCAAACTGTTCTATGACTCTGTAATTAACAACTTGAGCTCATTAAATCAAACTTTCTCCCTGCCCTGGTGTTGCAGAGCTGCTGCCTCTGTGATTGTGGGGACATTGGCAGAGCCTGGTGCTGTTTTTCCAAGCTCCCTGCTGGTGTAGGGACACAAGGCTTGGCCTAAATTCAGAGTTTTGATGTGTCCTGACAGCTTTGGGAGCTCCTGGTGAATTCCAAGTTCACAGATTTACCACAGAACCCTGGAATATCCTGCTGGGAAGGGACCCACTGGGATCACCCAGTCCAAGGCCTGGCCCTGCACAGATCCCCAAAAACCCCACCCCATCCCTGGGGGCCTGCTCAGTGCCCAGCACCCATTTCCATTGGATTTTCCTCTCCAAGTTTATATTTTTATAGCATTGAAACACTCTGTGCAATTCCAGGCATTCAGCAATCCTTGGATTTTTCACTTTTCTCCCAGTTTCAAGTCATTTATCTGCCCCTTCCATTTCTCAGCAGGTTCATTACAGAATTGCTGTGAATTAAGATTTCCTGGGGTGTTTTTGGGGATCCCATCTGAGAGCTGATCCCCAGGGATCCTTCACTTGGGAGGATTCTTCAGCAGCTTTTCCACTTCCACAATTTCCCTAAAATACTCAGCTCTTCCCCTTTTTCAGCTCCAGGTGGTGCAAATATTGCTGGAGAATGAGCAAAAGGAGTTCAGGGCTTAAGGAAAGGGTTTTGTTTTGGGGTTTTTTTTTTGCTTTGTTGCTGTGCCTGGTTTAATTTCCCACAGAAATAAAAACCATGGTGAGAGAGGAGCATTAATATTGGAATGGAAGATGCAGAGCATCCCTATAAATTCATTTTTAATTGTCCAAGCGTTCCAGAAGTGCCTAAACAGATTCTTTGGCATTCCAGGCTCTGGAGAACTTCCCACTGCTGATGTACATCTTGGCAGCTAAAACATTGATCCTTTGCTTGGCCTTTGCTGGAGTCAAAATGTACCAGAGCAAGAAAATTGAGGAGAAACTGAAGAGGGAACGTGAGGAGAAACTGAAAGCAGAAGCAGAGAAGAAGGATGAGTGAAAAGTGCCTCAGGTGTGGAATTGATTGGGCTTGGACATTGCTAATCCCAGTGGGATTGATTTGGATTTTGGATCCCAAAATGAGCTCTTGGGATATTTGGGATGTTTCAGGGATTTGCTCTCTCATTTTTTGTGGAACTTGCATGAACCACTGTCCTGTTGGAGGATGTTTGAGCACAATGTTCCCTCTCTGCTTTTATCTGCCTGGGTTTTTGTGCCTGATGCACAAAGAGAGGGATAAATTGGGAATAACTGCAGGGGAGCAGGCAGGCAGGATGCTGCAATCAGAGCTCTGGGCTTGAAGTCACAAAATAAAGAGAGAAAACAATCAGCTTTTCTAGAGGAGTGAAATTATTGACAGCTTGGGGTTGGTGTAGCTGGAAAGGGCAAATTCCACACCTGGAATTCCCATAGGGACAGGTTCTGCCATGGAGCATCCACCATGTAGAATCCCCCGAGAAAAATGCACATTTTTCTGCTTGAAAGAGCAAAATGAACATTACAAAATTCTCTAAATTTGAGATTTTCATTCTGAAATTCCCAAGTTCCTCCCCTCTGTTTCCAAAGCTGAAGCAATCCCTGCATTCTTGGAGCAAATCCATGAGCAGAATGAGTCCTGCCTGGTGCTTGGATTCTATTCCCTGCCTTGCTTGTCATTTTTGGAGCAGTTTGCTTCACTTCTCCCTGTTCTGCAGCAAAATGGGAATTCTATTCCTGCCTGCCCTTTGGAAGCTCAGTGGGAGTTTGATGTCATGTTGCTCTTTATTGAAATAAAATCTTATTTCCCTTTCTGAGGTCATCCTCTCCCATCTAAAGACACTTAAAATCTTTCCTCAGTTTTATTTCCACCCTGTCACTGTTTTATTCCCTTTATTCCCAAGGATTGGGAATGGTGCCTAGAAATGAGGCCCTGGGAATAACCATGGGAACAAAGTTTTTTCTATTTACACACAAAAAAAACCCAAAAAACCCCAAAAAAAACTCAGCAAAACCAAAGGGGTTTTTCATGCTTCCAGCAGATTCAGGACTTGGCTTTGGGGCAGATTTTGGGCACTTCCCTGGCAAAGGAAAAGTTGTGCAGGGCTTGGAGCAGCCTGGGGTAGTGGGAAATGTCCCTGCCCATGGCAGGGGTGGATGGGATGAGGTTTAAGATCCCTCTAACCCAAACCAGTCTGGGATTTTGGGGTTCTGTGCAGTTTTATCCCAGGGAATTCTGTCTGGCAAACCCCACAGCTCCAGGGATCATCACAAAACCTCAGTGCCCAGCAGGTGACGCCACCCTTGGGTGTTAAAACCTCTCTGATTCCACAGAAATTCCCTTCCCACTCCCCAGAGCTGCCCAGCAGAGACCTTGTCCTGGGTAAATTCTGGGATTCAGAGGGAGGAATTCCCCCATGGAGCTGGGAGCAGCTCCAAAGGTGCCCTGTGAGCACTGGAGCCCCTGTGCCTGCTCTTGTCACTGCTCTGTCCCCACCCTGCAGGTTCCTGACACTTGGATTCCCCTCCCAGGAGGATGAAGCCTTCCTGGAAATGAAGGATGGGTAACCTCAGAGTGACACTTAAATTATCTCTGGTTTTATGTGTACAAAGCAGCTGAGCCTCTATTTATGCAATAAAAAAATGTCTTTGTTTAAAAAATAAACGTGGGTGCTGCTTCCTCAAAGGATTGGAGCTGCAGGGGAGGCACTTGGGAAGGATCAGCTGCAAGGAGGTGGCTGGGATGGAAGAGGAAAAGGCTCTGGAGGGAAAAATGGAGGAGAAAAATGCTCTGGATGCATCCAGGGAGGCTCCAAGGCTCATGGAGAGGCAGAAGGAGGTGGAGAGGGCTCAGTGCAGCTTTTGCAGCTGCTCCTGCAAGGGCCAGGCTGTGGGGCCTGCCTGGAATCAGGAGGACAATCCCAGGAGAGGAGCAGCTCCAGGCTCTTGGTTCATCCAGGGCTTCCTTGGGCCCATGGAGATCACAGAGGAAGTTTCATGGCAGGAATTTTATCCCAAGGAACCTCTTTGGTTCCCTGTTCTCTGCTCAGCCTGGGGCAGCTGTTCCTGCCTCTGCTGTGGCACCAAATCCTGGAGAACTTGGGCATGGAATCCTGGAATGGTTTGGGTTGGAAGAGACCTAAAATCACCAAAAAATCACCTTGTTCCACCCCTGCCATGGCAGGGACACCTCCCACTGTCCCCAGTGTCCAGCCTGGCCTTGGGCACTGCCAGGGATCCAGGGGTGGAATTCCATGCCAGCCCTGCCCACCCTGCCAGGGAACAATTCCTCATTGCCAAGATCCCACCCAGCCCTGCCCTCAGGCACTGGCAGCCATTCCCTGGGTGCTGTCCCTGCATCCCCTGGAAATTGTCTCTCTCCAGCTTTCCTGGGGCTCCTGCAGGCCCTGCAAGGCCACCCTGAGCTCTCCCTGGAGCTTTTCCTTCTCCTGGACACTCCCAGCTCTCCCAGGCTGGCTCCAGAGCAGATTTAGGTTCCTAACAGAGAATTAGAGAAACAACAATAAAGGCTCAGGTGTGGCAGTGCCTCAGGGACCTTCACATCCCCATTTCCATTCCAAAACACTTGCTAGACCCTTCTGGGAGTTAAGGAGAAGCAGAATTTTTCCAGTGGAATGGGGAGAGGAGGCAAGAGAAGGCTGGAGAGCCCTTGGAGGAGCCCTGAGCTCAGCCCTCACCTGAGCAGGGAGCACAGGGGGTGCTCAGGGAGCTCCCTGGAAGTGCAGGGATGTTCAAATCTCCTTTTTCCCCGCTGTCTCCTTGGAGACTGGAGAACAAAAGCAGTGCAGAAAGGCATTCCCAGCCCAGAGCAATGTCCTGCTGTGCAATGTCCTGCTGGATCCTAGAGAAATCCCCTGCTCCAGCAGCCCAGGGAATGCAGCAGTTCCCCTCTGCTCCCAGCACTCCCCTGTGCATGCCAAGGTCCACTGGGGGGGATTGAATTCAGCTCCTGGGGTGCCAGTGAGCACAGCCTGTGCCCACCTCCCTGAGGGAAACTCAGGAATTCTGGGGGAGCCACTGCCCCAAAGCTGCCCAGGGAATTGTCAGCTCTGCTGCCACCAGGGGTTGGCTCTGGGCACTCACTGGTTGTTTTTGGATATCAGCCCCAATCTGGAGTGTTTAGGCTGTCCAGAGTAGATTTTTCCAGGAAAAAAAAATAATAACAATGATGAGGAATTATTTTTTAGTTTTTCAACTACTGTTTTGGGAGCAGAAATCACCATCTCCCTGTGCAGCTCCATTTACCACCAAAGCCACTGGGCATCATTTAGCACCCAAAGCAATCAAGTCTGGCTTAAATTCACCCCTGCCAAAGATGTGCAAGAAGGGAATTAATGCTCTTTTTTTTGTCCCTAAATATGGAGGAAGGAGCTGTGAGGAGTCTCCTCAGAAATCCTGCAAATTCCTGCACATTCTCTGCAGCCAAATCAGAAAAATCTTTGCAGGTAAAAGACTTCAAATTTGCTCCAGCCTGATTTTTAGAATCCCAGGGTGGTTTGGGGTGGAAGGGATTTTAAGGACCACCCAGTGCCACCCCTGCCATGGCAGGGACACCTCCCACTGTCCCAGGCTGCTCCAGTCCCAGGGTCCAGCCTGGCCTTGGGCACTGCCAGGGATGCAGGGACAGCCCCAGCTGCTCTGGGAATTCCATCCCAGCCCCTGCCCACCCTCCCAGCCAGGAATTCAGCCCTGCCTTCCTCCTGCCTGAGGCCTTTCCTAAATTTCAGTGTAACATCAGAGCTTGGCATGGGGGGTATCCAATAATTTCCAGGAAAACAGAAGAAGGTCTTGTGCAGTCCTGTCCCTTCACAAACTGATCCATGGCTGTTCCCAATCCTGTCCCCAAACTGAGCCATGGCTGTTCCCAGTCCTGTCCCTTTCCAAACAGATCTATGGCTGTTCCCAATCCTGTCCCCAAACTGAGCCATGGCTGTTCCCAGTCCTGTCCCTTTCCAAACAGATCCATGGCTGTTCCCTGCTGTTCATGGCAGTTTGAGCTGTGGTCTCACAGCTTCCAGGTGATTTCACCTTTGGGAGTCCCTTGTGCCACATCTCGAACAGGAGAAATCTGCTGACACTGGGGGGAGACAGCAGCTCAGCTTTGCTGCAGTTCCTCCTTCAGAGAGCAGCTGGGGGCCTGGAATTCTGAAAGAATCCCCAAATCCCTGGGGCTGGCCCAGCCCTGCCAGCCCATGCAGTGCCAGCTGTGCCCCATGGGCACCTTGTCCCCAGCCCAGAGCACTCAGTGCCACCTGCAGGCCTTCCTTGGACACAGAAAGGTTTTTATGGTTAAAAACACGTTTAAAAGAGGAAAAGAGAATTCAGTTCAGGTTCATTTCTGAGGGAGAGGGGGCAGCAAGGATAGAGGGCCTTGGAGTGCTTGGTGTATCCCAGAATTATCAGGGTGGGAAGAGCCCTCCAGGATCATCCAGTGCCACCATCACCCCAAAGGCTGTCCCCAAGTGCCACATCAACACCAGAGGATCTGCTCAGAAACCTCTTGGAAATATTCCCATCCCAAAAAACGAGCCAGGTCACTGTGGTGCCTACAGAGCACAGGGTCTCTCCTCCTCCCCAGTTCCATAAAATTCCTCTTTTCCAAAGCAGGGATCAGGCTGTACCTCCCTTGCACAGGTCTGTGTTTCTGATATTGTCATTGTCACCAGTGCCAAGTGTTGAAGATACAAAATAAAAAGAGTAAAATTAAAAACTGTCTTCTAAATTTCCAGTGTTTGCACTTTTAGGGTTCCTTTTATTCACATGATGGCTGTGTGGGTTTAAAGAAAAGCTGCAATCCCTGTGGAGTGATCAGGAAAGGAGCTGCTGGGATTTTAAGGGAAACAAACCAAACTCTGCCAGGTTCTGAGGTGACTCAAGTGGCTGCTGGAATAGGGAGCTCAGGGCTCTGGGCTTTCTGAGGTCCTTAAAATAAAAAGATGAACTTTCAACAGGACATTAGACTTTAGCTGAGATAAGCTCAGCTTAATTTTAGTCCCACTGAAAGCTTTTAGTCTGAGACTTGTGCCAGAATCACCTCAGGCTGGGGCTGGAGGGAGGCAGAGCTCCCTGAGCAGCCTCCCAAGGGATCCAACATCCAAACAGGAATCCCAACATTTCCTTCCCTGCTTTTCCACTTGGGAATCATCAATTCCATTGCAAATGTTCTATGTTGGGGAGAATCCTTCACAATTCCCTGAGATCCCAGCTCCAGTCTTGGCAGCATTGCTTTAACTTGTTGCATCCTCTAATTATAGCACATATGACATAGTTAATTAGTTAATATTTATTAATTATTATTAACCTCAGCCCTCGAGGCTAATGGGGAGCTGATGGACCTCACATGAGGGAGTTGGAATATCCTGAGTGGGAAGGACCCAGAGGGATCATCCAGTCCCACCCCAGCCCTGCCCAGACCCCCCAGCAATCCCAGTTTTTCCCTGGGAATGTTGTCCCAACACTCCTGGAGCTCTGTCCAGCACTGCTGACCCAAGGAGATTGAGAACTTTGGTTTTTCCTCTTCCATTCATTCCCACATCCTGGCTTGGACAATTTTTGGACAAGGCAGCATGGCAGGAGCAGCTCCTTCCTCAAATTCCTGGTGGGTTTTTAGGGAGCAGATGCCAGTGGGAACCATCTCAGGATCATCCAAACACACACAGAGATTCCTTCCTGCAAAACTCTGCCTGGGAGCTGAAGGGAGATGTGAAAAAAAAATATATATAAAAAAGTAAAGAGGTGGAATTATCCCAAATCACATCTGAGATGTGAACAAGGCTTAAATCTTCCCTCTGCTGGAGCTTGCAGAACATCCAGCAGTGCTGGCCTTGG